ATTCGCCTGTCACGACCCGGATTTCCCACCATCGGGATCGTGATGGCGCCTACTCGTGGTAGCTAGGCAAGCCAACTTATTTACCTTTTCATCACTAAATAATTATTATAACAATTTATAGCATCAATATAGAACATGAATTTTACTAAGAATAATAGCGGAAGTCTGATTTATAAATCTGAATCAAAACGCGGAACAGTTAATAATAGCCTCTACCCAAGATTTGGTGTCACATCACTCATGAACCACTAAGAATATACGAAATACAAAGTTCTGAAAGAAACATAGAAGTTGTCTATCTCGAGACAAGGAGGCAACAGTCTAAAAGAGAACATAAAGAAGAGACGCCGGGCCTGCGGACGCCTGCAAGGCTACCTCGGTCTCGTGATAATGAAAGCCTGCTCCCGTACTAATGCTGTTGCTGCTCCTCAGAACCTGGACCTGTGCAAAAATGCACAGAAGCGTAGCATCAGCACAACCAACCCCATGTGCTGGTAAGTGTCTAGCCTAACCCCGGCGAAGTAGTGACGAGGCTAGACCGGACACCAAATAAACCTGTGCAGTTAAAAATATACAACGGAAACAAAATACCAAACAACTAGCAATATGGGAGGGGGAAACATGCTGTGGGGAGATAACAATAGTAACAGTAATTCCGAGTAACAAACTAAAGCAGCTTAGATTCACAATGAACAAGGAAAACAATACTCAATATAAACACATGGTATCAATAGCTGTTGCGGCGTGCAACCCGATCCACAATTTACCATTGTTGCGGCGTGCAACCGATCCACAAATACCACTGTTGCGGCGTGCAACCCGATCCACAGATACCACTGTTGCGGCGTGCAACCCGACCCACATCATTTATCATGTATCATTGTTGCGCGCCGCAACAAAGATATTGAGCATCGGGTTGCACGCCGCAACAATAATATGTGAGGATCGGGTTGCGCGCCGCAACAATAATACATGATAAATGATGTGGGTCGGGTTGCACGCCGCAACAGTGGTATCTGTGGATCGGGTTGCACGCCGCAACAATGGTAAATTGTGGACCGGGTTGCACGCCGCAACAGTTATTGATACCATGTGTTTATATTGAGTATTGTTTTCCTTGTTCATTGTGAATCTAAGCTACTTTAGTTTGTTACTCGGAATTACTGTTACTATTGTTATGTGTATCTCCCCACAGCATGTTTTCCCCTTCCATATTGCTAGTTGTTTGGTATTTTGTTTCCGTTGTATATTTATAACTGCACAGATTTATGTGGTGTCCGGTCTAGCCTCGTCACTACTTCGCCGGGGTTAGGCTAGACACTTACCAGCACATGGGGTCGGTTGTGCTGATGCTACGCTTCTGTGCATTTTTGCACAGGTCCAGGTTCTAAGGAGCAGAAGCAGCATTAGTACGGGAGCAGGCTTTCATTATCACGAGACCGAGATAGCCTTGCAGGCGTCCGCAGGCCCGGCATCTCTTCTTTATGTTCTCTTTTAGACTGTTGCCTCCTTGTCTCGAGACAGACAGCTTCTATGTTTCTTTCAGACCTTTTTATTTAGTATATTCTTAGTGGTTCGTGAGTGATGTGACACCAAATCTTGGGTAGATGCTATTATTAACTGTTTCGCGTTTTGATTCACATTTATAAATCAGACTTCCGCTATTATTCTTAGTAAATTTCATGTTCTATATTGATGCTATAAATTGTTAAAATAATTGTTTAGTGATGAAAAGGTAAATAAGTTGGCTTGCCTAGCTACCACGAGTAGGCACCATCACGATCCGGATGGTGGGAAATCCGGGTCGTGACATCGCCGAATTATATTTACCCATGCTATGAGTAATTTAAATTAGTCCAAAATCTTTTAAATAAAAAGGTATCTATATGGTGTATTCCCTTTACTGTTCAATTTCCTTAATCGCATGCATAAATTGAAACTGAAATAAATTTAATGTGCATAATATTCCTTCTTAATTAGTACCTATCTTTTGTACTCAATACTAGACTCATAACATTCAAATCCAAATTTGATATTGTCATTGGAATATAGTTAAACACCAAAACTCAATCCTTGCACCCTAACTTAATTTACACCTAACAAAGATCATATATAATGAGACTAGTTTAAGTACAAATACATCAATACCTTTCTTTTTCCAAGTGAATTTATCCTACAATAATATTGACCAACTTTCAATTGCATAATTTGCCCGGAATAACTCTTATTGGTATTAAATTTCTTATACCTTGTGAAACTCTTCAAATATATGAACTGAGATAAAAAGAATTACCAGAAGAAAAGAACCCTGATGGGAAATTCGAGTATTACCCATAAAAACCAGTGCATATTTAAGATTTCTCAAGGTTTGATTCCAGCCTTTTTTCTTCTTCTTTTTCTCCTCCTTTTGAAATTCATTTTCCGCGTTCTGAAGCAGAACCCTTTTCCCGTTTTCTTTTGGGAAAATCTCACTTTATACCCATTGAATTCAAACTATTTACCCTTAAATACCCATACCTAAACTATTTACCTTTCCTACCTATGCAATCAATACTATTTACCCGCCCACAATAGATTCTTTGGAGTGGTTAGCTATTCGTTTTTTATTTTTCTTCCTTTTTAATACAGATTTTTAGTGTCATCCTTACCTTTTAATATAGAGTGGTGGACATGGAATATTCTTTTGTAATAAGTGCAGTTTTTTATACTTGCGTGGTGCTTATATTTTGTACTCGTTGAAGGACAAATTAGTGAAATGCAGTTTCATTAGGAGATAATTCCGTCTTGTATTACTTTTGCGTGTTAGCATACATGGAAAAAAATAGTAAGCATGTGTGTTATTATAAGCAGGTGTGCTGAATCAAATCGATCCAGCACTGCAAGAATCAAATCGATCCAGCACTACTCCATTGGTCTCCAATTAAATGTAGCTAATATTGTTCTTTGATGTGTAGATTGTACCTTTGATGCTGGTTTTTGGAGATTTATTTTACAAAAATTTAAATCCACCATTTACGGACCTTGAAGCTTGAAACACATAACTTGATTTGTTTGAGTTTTTAATTGTTTTGATCTGATCCTGTATGGGTTAGTTTGAAAAGTTGATTGGAGGTTGTAGCTAATATTTTAGTCAATTTGGTGGAGATTTTGTAGTAATTTTAGAAATTTGGGTTGAAATATAGTTGAACCAGAGAAGAAGACGAATTTGTATTGTATACCCAAATAGTATACAAATATACCATTTTAGTATACAATTCATTCCAACTAAATATTCTATTAGTATAGCTATATACTATATTGGTATCATATGCTAGTTGAATTATTTTTTGGTTGTATTAGCTGCATTTAATTGGTACAATATTTGATTTTCTTTTAATAAGAGTAATATAGTACAATATCTTGAAATACCTTATTATATTAATATGTGATACACTATTTTTTTATTTTTCTCTTTATGCATGTGTGTTATGTAATAGTAGTATAGTCATATAGTTGCCGAAAATTAACTAGTAAAATTGTATACCATGTTGGTATAGTTATATGCCATATTGGTATCATATGGTAGTTTGAACATTGTTTTGGTTGTTTTAGCTGCATTTTAAGTGAAATATATTATGAAATTATTTATATCAACATGAGTTGCAATAAGCTGGAATTTTTGTGTGCCGATGGACATAAATTTTGTGTATTAATAGTTTTCATAGTTATAGGCAATTGTTGGAACGACCCCATACAACTATATACCCTCTTAGTATACGAAATGAACAAGTTGTTTTGCGAATATTTAGCTTGCAATACGAGCATGTAATTTTCTCATACTTTTATTGCGTCCTTTAATATTTTGGTAGAGTAGTATAGTCGCAGATAGTTGTAGCAATATTCTAGAGAAATCATATGCTCTGTTGGTATACATATATACCATATTGGTATCACATGGTACTAGAAGTCTTTTTCGCTATTTATATTTTTGTTCTATTTTTAAATATTTTATTATCATTTTTATTCTAACTAGTATATATGGAGATTTGGTTGTCATAGATTATGTTTTCTTGCTCTATAACTGGTTGTATTACTGCTAATGGTAGAGTGTGTATTGATATTTATAGGGAAGGAGATCAAGGTTTGCATGGCAATCACGTGTTGATTCTTAGAATCTGATTATGTAATTTATAGTGCTCAACAGCAGTCAATGTGATATTCAGTGTATTAGATCAAGTGACAACTGATATTATTTCAGTTTAATAATTGAATTAAAAAATAAGAAAGAAAAATAAAATAAAAGGTATATTGTACTAGTTATATTAAAAAAAGGTGAAAAAATATTTACTATATCAATTATTTTTCTTATTGTATAAAAAAAGAATAATAAAAATAGTAAAAAAGGTAAATAAAATTAGATTATGAAGATAAAAGGAATATAAAAAAAAGAAGTTAAATGAAATTATAAAGGAAAAAAGAAAAAAAATAAGAAGAAAATTAGAAAAAAGAAAAGCAAAAAAAAAAAGATAAAAGAAAAAGAAGAAAAAAAGAAGCATAGAAATAAAAAAGAATTGGAGAATAAAGAAAAAATTCCCTATAAAAACTACTATGGGTAGGAAATGTAATTAGTTTATGGGTAGAAAAATAAATGGGTAGACAAGGGTAAATAGTTTTGTTTTTGTGGGTAACTGTGTCAAAAATTCTTTAGTTTGTGTTGATATAGTTATATTTTATGGGCTTGGGCCTTTTAGTGAAATCCTTATTCTTTTTTGATTTGTTTCTTTTTTATAGTTAGTTTATTATTATATTATTATTATTATTATTTATTATTATTATTATTATTATTATTATTATTATTATTATTATTTTGCTAATCACCAATACACCCTTGCTAAAAAATATAGGGTATTACATTATATGACCCTTCGGGTATTGTCCAACGTTGTGAAGCTCTTGTGCCACGTGTACAAAAGCTTGTCAAAATCATTATTGAGGAACACAGGTGCAGTACCATATCCAAAATGGTGTCGGATAATGCAGATTTTGTGGACGTTCTTTCGTCTCTTGATGGAGAAGAAAAGCAGCAGGAAGATGATATGGTTGTCGTTCTATGGGTACATAAAAATAATATATTTACATAAGTCTACTTATTCACATTAAATATGGGTTTTAAATTGGATTCCAATATGTTAGTTTCAGGAAAAAGTTATATTAGTTGCAGAGGCGGACCCAGAATTTGATGGTGGCGGGAGTATATGAGGGAATTATTCAACCGGTGCCCCCATCAGACTTTTAATCTTAAGAGTTACAAGCAAAGTATATGATCGTTCTCAACATATATACACATTGTGATTAGTTGTGTTTAATTTTTTAACCTGTTCGTAATATCCTGGTTGTGTAAATTTTTTTGATTAGACAACTTTTTATATGTGCTAACGTGTCATGGTTCTTAATTTAATGTTGTAATGCAGGAAATGATTTTCATAGGTACTGACACTACAACACTTCTATCTGAATGGGTCATGGCGGAGCTTATATTAAATTCTGATGTGCAAAAGAAGTTACAAAAAGAAGTTGATAACGTTACAATGGGAAAAACTGTGACTGATGCTGATGTTACTCAGATGTCGTAATTACAAGCAGTTGTGAAGGAAACTCTAATTCATCCACTGGGTCCACTTCTCTCATGGGCAAGGCTTTCTACATCTGATGTTATGTTAAGCAACCTCATGGTTTTTCCTTCTCACACGACAACGATGATTAATATGTGGGTAATTACCCATGATTCTAATGTGTGAGAGAATCCTCTTGAGTTCAAACCTGAGTGGTCATAGTTGTTAAAGGTGGTTCAATGGTGGACGTCAGGGGTGGTGACCTTCGTTTGGCACCGTTTGAGGCAGGAAGGAGAGTATGTCTTGGGAAGAACTTAGGGTTGGTCACAGTGATGTTATGGGTGGCCAAGTTAGTGCAGAATTTCAAGTGGGTCGAGGATGGGTTCCACGCAGTTAACTTGGAAGAAGTTCTGAAATTATCTTGTGAAATGAAGAACCCCCTCATTGCTGTGGCTATTCACAGAAATGTTTCGTTTTAGGGGTTCTGCGGGTGTTTTATTTTTATTCATTTTTTTTTTATATTTTCTACATCTCTGAACCTTATAAATTGAACTTGATTGCTAAATTTGGGGCAGGATATGATAAATAGTATTCCTGCAGATACCCTACTAGAAAATGTCAGATTTCCGACGGCCAAAACGGTCGCAATTCGGTCGAAAATCACGTATTTTCGACTACTTTCCGACCGAAATTGGTCGGTCCGAAAATAATTTTCGACCGAGTCTCTCGGTGATTTCTGACCAAAGTGGTCGCAAATTTCAAAAGGTCAAACAACCAAATAATTCACGTTTCCGACTAAAGTGGTCGGAATTCACCGACTGAATCGTTCGTAATAATACAAATAAAATTAATAATAAAAAATTAAATTTTATTTAATTTCCGATGGAATCCGTCGAAAATTTTTGAATATTAATTTTTTTTAAATTTCCAACCGAATCGGTCGAAAATCTAGGAATTTATGATTAAATCTGGGCAGCTGTCCGACCGTTTCCGTTAGAACTCAGTCGGAATTTTGTATAAAACTGGGCAGAATTCTGCCCAATTTTGAGTTACACCACCTGTCAAACTATTACAAACAAAAAAAATACCAACCAATAATACATTAACAACAATCTAAACCAACGATACATTAATACAATAATACCAACCAACAATACATTAACACAATCTAAATTAACAATACATTGACAAAATCTAAACCAACAATGCCAACCATTAACACAACTTAAACCAACAATACCAACCTTTAAACCTAACAATTTTTGGCATAAAAACATCCAAATAGTAGCCCACATTCAAGTTTAAAAGTAATACATAAAGTTGTCTCTCACAATCAAGTTTACCAATCAACCAAAACATCACAACTAAACCACTACACATCAGATTCAGTTTGTTCATCCTCATCATCATATAAATCATGCCCATGTTTACTCATGAATTTCTGAATCTTAACAAATGTTCCGTATTGGGAGTCCAATTGTTGCTTCAATTCACGAATTTCGTTTCTCATATCTTCCATCTGTTCTTTATTTTGAGGAGAAGAAGAATTGGCTAAGAGTGGGTTTGGATGACCTGTGGGTCGACGTACTCCTAGTCCGTAGACTCTGCCTTTGTTTACTCCACCCGCTGCCTCTGTCCACAGTGAATCCATATCATCAGGTGTTGGTTGAGTTGAAGGAGGCTGAGTTTGTTGCCATTCTTCCAACCTTTTATTGTATGTATGCTTGGATCATTTATCCTTGGTAGAATTTTTTAAAAATAATTGTAATTAGATTGAATTGCAATTTACATCTAGATGTGCCAATTAAGACTCAGCGTCAAACCTAGAGTAAAGCACAAGAGTTCTTTTTAGATTCAGGAATCAATGAAACAACATACAACAAATTCCAAAAACAACTAATACAAAATTCCGCCTTATTACCCAAGATTGTAAAACATAATCAAGACAGTTGAGTCAATGAAAACCTTGATGCTGCGCTGCGAGCAAAAGCTTAAATTTAGGTTGAGAAAAAGAAGTCTGAACTGAGAAGTGAATCAAAGAGGTGACAAAGGACAGAGAGAACAAACACACAAGAAGAAGACCAATGTCAAACCTAGAATAACACAAAGAATTAAATCTCGTTCTTTTGTTCTTTTCATACATATTCAGAAATCTAAAGCAACATTATGCTGAAGCACATTCCCATAAAGCAACTACTCCAACTAATTATAAATTTTAGCACAATTATCCAAAAAAATCATGGAAAACACTAAAAAAAAATCATGAAATCAGATCAGAGAAACTTACCTGGCAGTAGAGAGTCTCGACGAAGCTTCAGCGGCGCCGGCGAGTGCCGATGGTTGGTGGCAGTGGCGGGTTTGGGTGGGGGAAGTTTGAGTGAGAGATAGAAGAGAGAAAGAAGAAAAGAAGGAATGGAAAAGAAAGATGTTCCCTGGTAGGTTTTTCTAAAAACCTTTCCGACTGATTCGGTCAGTAATTTGGTCAAAGCAGTCAACCTGTTTTACTAAATATTTCCGACCAAATTAGTCGCTATTTTCTTTTTTTAAATTATGTCCGACCGAATTGATCGTTAACAGTTACGCGGAGTTTTCCGCCAAAATTTCCGATGGATATAGACGGAATATTAGTCGTAACTATTATTAGAAATTAAAAAATAAATCCGACCGATTCCGTCGGAAATTCCTACTAGTTTTTTCCGGCGAAAATTGGCCCTTTTATTAGTAGTGATAGTGTATGGGCTCCAATTTCGGACCTATATAGAGAGTTATAACTTTGTGCATGCTTTCTTGTTTTGGAAAAAGTATTGCGCTTTGTTGCAAGTCAACTATTAAAAATAATATTTTTTTCAATACTTGGTAATCTACTATTGATGATTGATCCACTCTTTCACACTTTTATCATCAAAATAGTTAAATATGTTTGAAAGTGGTAAAAAGGTCATTCATATCTTTCAGACACATCATACTCCCATTTAAGAATATATAATGTGAACACCTAATTTTTTACATTATTTTAACACCTCCTAAAGTTATTAGTATTTTTGTTATTTTAATTGTTTTCCTTAAATTTTATGTCTTTAATTGCATATTTTTATCATAAAAATATCAAAATATAATAGTTCTTCCTTCATTTGTGCATTTTAGGAATTGATTAACTTTTTAATAGGTGAATCAATCTAGTTAATTGATCATTTGAATAAGTTAGTTAATTAATTTATTTGTTTGTGTAAATTTAGTTTAATAAGTAGGATTAAGAAAGAAATTTGACCAAATTTGAAAGAAAAAGTGGCCAAGAGTGCAAGATAAAGGGCTGCCATTGAAAGGGTTTAAAACTACGTAGTTTTGCCTCAAAACTACGTCGTTTCATTAAGTGAATCAAGATTTAATCTTGGCCACCCATCTTGACTTGATCCAACGGTCCTAGTTTGATCTTCACCCTAGGTATTTAAAGCCTAAAACCCCCAAAATTTTCCCCCATTTTCCCCTTATTTCCTTTCTTCTTCCTCTCTCATCACTCTCTCTTCTCTCCCTCTCAGCTCCGCCAGCCGCCGCCCATCGCCGCCGGCCGGAAATCGCGCCGCCGGCGGCCAACCTCCAAACCACCCAAAATTTCACCACGTCTTCCGTTCAACCTCCTCTCCATGAATCCGAACCCCAAAATCCCATAACCCCTCTCAATCTCCGTAGATCTAAGCTTAATCAAAACCCTAGCCGCCGCCCACCACCCCAAACTCCAAAAATTTTACACCACCGGCCTCCTCTTCTCCCCCTATTTCCATATCTTCGACTCAAAACCTCAAAAAAACCGACGCCGCCCTAGCGCCGCCGCCCACTGCCTCTCGTTTCTTTTCTCCAACCAGCCTCGAGCAAGGTTGTGTCGTTGATATCATTGAAACCGAACTCAGATTCTTCGGAATTTTTTGGTTTCAAGAATATCAACAATAGAAGCTTGCTCGAAAGTCGTACCACTGCATATCGTCGTTTTTCGGATGCTCGGGTATATGGTAAAATCGCAATCCCCGCCTCGTTATTAATTTTCTGATTTTTCTTTTTTTTTTGGGGTTTTAGTTTAGAGTTAGTTTCTGTCTTGTTTCTTTATTTTAATCCATTTCTGATTATGTTTGTCTTTGTTAAATCGCTTCACCGATATCGTGCGTTTCGTTTGGCTTTAATAGTTAATTTTTGTTTGCTCATGTTGGTTCATAATACATGTGTTGAAATTTAATTACATGTTTTAATACTTGGTTTAATTTGAATCAATAGGTTGATATTGGTGTTAAAATCTGAAATTTAGATATTTTTTAGGGTACTAGTAGCTTGCTTTTAGTAGGGTGGCTGAAGTGACCCTTTGGCTCCTGCCATAGCAGATTTCAGGCTGTCCTTTCACCTTTTGGACAGCCTTTAGCACACAAATATAGCCTCTGTTGGATAGATTTTTGTTGAACCAAAATCTGTCCAAAAAGTTGGCTTTTCTTTGCCTATTTAAGGGCTGCCCTCTCTTCATTATAAGGGGACTCCAACACACATCTGCTAGATTTTTTACATACTAAAAAATACCATTTTAGGAGTAAAAATCAGCTACTGAACTTAAAGAAAGTAAGCTGAAAATCATGAGTTCTTGGTTGAGTTTTAGAGTGTAAAATCTTTCAAAAACATATAAGAGTCTTAGAGTTTGATTATGAGTTCTTTCTCTTAAAGAATCACTACTTTTAATGAGAGTTATGGGCTGTTTTTAACACGGATTCACTGCTGTTTCGTTGCTGTTGCATTGTTGTTTGTTGCCGAAATTTAGTCCCTCCCTTGCTAATATTTTCTTTCTGTTGATCAGGTATTTCCTCAACTGTTGTACTACTTTTTGGATCAAGAGTGAATGAAAATGAAGTGATTCAAAGTCCTTTTAGTATATTGTGTTTTTGTATGATCCGTTTTCTTTTAAGTACCAAGCATATATAAGCATTAGCTGATTTTTTTTAGTCATTGACATGTTTAAATAATGTTTGGGTTGTTGTTTATATTACTTGAATACTTGCTATATTAAGATTATGTTTATGCCTAAGTAGGAACCCGTAATTTAGTGGTAGTATTCAAAGCTTGCATCCTTATCACTTCTACTTTAGGTTATTGATTTGAAATCAGTTGAGAAGGCTTCTATATCTTGCTGAAATTTTTATGCTGTTAACTTGTAGATAGATTTTTTTTCAAGATAAGTGCACTTTAAGCTTAAAGCTCTAGTGCTCAACAATAGTGGAGTTATTTTTCCGGTTTAATTAGTGTATTGAGTTGGTATAGGTTATTCAGCTAAAAGTTTTCAATTAGTTTACTATTGCAATTATGGTTAAATTAAAAGAAAAAAAAAATAGGATACACTAGTAGGTTATTAGTTGATTTGTAGTTGGGGGATAGGCTTTAATATGTATGGGCCAAAGTGAACTCAAATTCAGCCAGGCCCATTATGAGTTTAAGCATGCTAGCAGGGCCATTTGTTTTAATAGTAAGGTAGCTTAATGCAAAAAAAAAAAAAAAAAAAGAATTGGTCATTTTAAATCCAATAAACAAAGCTGGCCCAAGTTTCTAATTACAAGCTTTTCAAGTAGTTTTTCAATTCATCGTATTTTTTTTAATAATTATGTAACTTAATTACCTGTGTAATTTAATCACCTTATTAATTAATTTAAACGCAAGGCAACTAGTAGGTGCGCTTTAACTTTTTCATTCACGGACTCGCTCGCGTAGCGTGATATTAATTCTTAATATTTTAATTCAATAATCTCCTACTATTTCTACTAGCTTTAATTAATTTCTAACTTAATTAATCCCTTGTTTATAACCGCGGATTCGCTTGCGTAGCGCGGTAACTGACATTTAACGAACTCCAAACATTTTTTTCCTCTCTTTTCTCAAATATAGTAAATTATCCAAAAGTAATAACGTGCTAATAATTCTTTGTCATGACTGCGGATTCGCTTGCGTAGCGTCGTTATGACTAAATTAATAAATTTCGTCTCGATCACGCATTCGCTTGCGTAGTGTGGTTATGACATCTTATTATTCAAAATTTTCTTTAATTTACCTAATAATCTAATAATAAAAGCGGACATAGGTAAAACATGAAAACCAAATAAAATTACAGTTTTATCCAAATTAATTCAAGCCAAGTTTAAGTCAATAAAGCAACCGTGCTAAAACCACGGGACTCGGGGAATGCCTCGCACCTTCTCCCCGGTCAACAGAATTCCTTACCCGAATTTTGTTTTCGCGGACCGATAATAATAGAGTCAAACCTTCCTTTGACTAGGGATTCAAATAAAAAGGTGACTTGGAACACCCAAAAATCAATTCCAAGTGGCGACTCTGTAAACAAAATAATCCCCATTCAAGTTTGTCACTTTAATTGGAAAAACTCTTTAACCCACCCACAACCATAGCATACACATATTATCTTTCGGGGTAGGTGTGTAAAAAGGAAGTGTGACAGCTCTGGCGACTTCGCTGGGGAATACCAGAATTCGAGCTTGTACATATTGACTTTTTATTTGGCTTTATTAATTTTGTATATATTGTGATTTATTTGAGCAATGTGCTACCTGTTCGATTTTTACCGTTTTGATATTGTTGAACTGTACATATAAACTGTTTACTCACGCACCCCCTCTGAGTCTTCTTGAAATTAAAATTGGGCATTTGCTTGACATAGCCCGCTTTCTTTGAGATAGCCGAGGTGCTTGTCATCCGGTGAAGGATTTTTAGTCACACATATTTTAGGCGAGGAGCACCACCAGTTAAGCCGGAAAGCAATGCTACCGGTACACTGACCCTCCTCGGCTCGAGTTGTCCACTCGAGTAAGCCAGTCTAGATACCTTCTCCACCAGGATTTAAACCTAGAAGAACAAACCTCATGCCGGATATCCCTAGTAGGTTCGCTTTATGTGCATCACATGCATTTGAATTAGCGAAACTCGGCACAGAGGTCGGGTCCGTATAGGACAAGTATCCTCTTTGAGACCATCATGCTCACTTATGTGCTATTTGCTACATCATTTGGAAGGCTTGCTTGCATTGTTGACTGGCTTTTAAAAATTAGTTGAGCGGAATTAAAACAAAAAAAAATAATATAGAAAAAAAAACATTCCCCCAGTTTAGTATAAATAATCCTTTTTTTTTACTAAAATTTTGAAGTTGTGCGAAGTGAGGTGTAAAGATTAATTTTCATAAAAATCAGAAAACAAATAGTCGGTTCCACCGAACTAGGCGGGTTTGATTCTCACCGGATGTGAGATACGTAGGAACCCTCCATCGGGTATAGCCCATATTTTTTTTAAAAAAAAAAGGGCATAAAAATTATGCATGTGCATAAAATTTTGGAAAAAAAATAATAATAAAAATTGCTATTTTTGGTCACCTTTTACTGTTTTGCCCTCGTATTCCGGTTGTTTTGCCAGGACAACCTTCCTTGGAAGCGTCGAGGAGTTATTTTCGCAAAATATTCATTTTGTTTATTTATTTTTATATTTTTACCGTGTTGCCCTTATTTC